ACAAGGTAATCACGATAGTTCATGCAGGTATCTGGTTTGAGTAATTCAATCCAGTTTGATCCCTGCTCTGGAAAGTCATCTACGTGTATTGAGAATGCGTCAGGTCTCGGAACGAGAGCGAACAGTAGGGTTGGTCTCCAAACGTATCTATGTGTATTTGTTAATTCCAGGCACGTCGTTTCGTTCTTTTGCGAATTGTTTTTATCGTTGTGTGTGTTACCACATCTATGTGAATTAGCTCGATTCTACTGATGCGTGTGAAATCTAAAGCTTATCACGCCACACGGGCTGCAATTCTTTTTACTTCACGCACAGGTGAACTGTCGTAGGAAAATGATAATGAATTACTTCCATGAGAAGACAGACTACACAAGGTGAGCTACGAGAATGATCAAATGTTTTGATATATCGATTTAAGTTATAAAAGACGTTGAAAAATACTTCTGATATTAGCACATGCGTGGATATAAGATATCATAAATGGGTAAATGTGCAAATTCATACGATTTGGAATGAATGCAAACTGCCAATTATTGTATAGGCTATAATGAAAAATCGAATAGTGGACAAGCGAGCATATTTCAGGATTGGGACAGTATGACAGGAATTTCAGTGATTGTCGTATCTATATTGCCTGATGACATATTCTGCGCGTGCGTCGTTGAGGTGTGGGGCAGGAGACTAGGGTATACTCGCATCTACGAGTCGTCAAATGTGTTGTGACTTTCATGAGAGAGGATTATTCATTGTTGATCAGGATTTGTTCACAACTCGATATTATAGATTATACTACACAATTGCTTAGTTAGTCAAATTGTTATTCACCGTTTACGCTTCTATGCACACAAATCTGCAAGAGTAGTCATATTATGCGAATTTAAAAGCTTGCACATGTCGATCGCATCAAATTGTTCAATGCCTACTAAAATCCCAAAGTGCCTGCTGTTTTTGTGATATCTGCGCCGGAAGATCAAGACACATATTCATATTTTCTACATGTATGAATGTATAGCTGGACAGTTTTGTATTGCTGTAGAGGAACTATTTACATACAGACATCATCGCTATCGTACTTTTGGAAACACGTAGGTAAACCTATATCTATATACCTCAAATATTTTGGTGTCAGATGCGGCACATGTGACTGCTGTATCAACGCCGAACGGTTCAAAGGCGATCAAGAGCGAGATATGTACCCCATGGCATCGCTAATAATCATGATTGTTCGGGTAAGTGAAAAATAAGTTCACAACTATACGAATACAGATATATCTGAATTCGACTATAGATGTGATGTAACTAAAACGCATAGTTCCAGATACTTGCGTTGTCTTTTTGCGCTGAAAGAACTGTTGTTTTCTGTGTTTAAGTGCGCATGCGTGTGTCTATCGTCGTGTGTGTACATTTTTTGAAAATATGAGTATATTTACTTGTCACTGCGTATTTGGGATGTATACACAAGCTAGTCTGTGTGCGTGACTAGGAGATCATCTATTTGACCTGTCAACGCTTCTGCGCTGGGCGTTGTATTCGAGCGGAAAACACTTTCGTTTAACATTAACTATTTGCGTAATGATAATGCACATCTGCGTTCCGCTGTTGATTATTCCGCTGTCGATTATTCCGCTGTGTTGTGGTATTAGACTAATGTGTTGTTCAGTCTCATGTGTAATGGTACACAGTATGTTTATTTCCTGTGCGCTCTACTCGTGTGTATTGCTTCGTCTCCTTGATATATTTGTTTGTTTCCTGTTTATCATTGATCTTCAAGATTGCCCAGATAGCGATTAGTTGCTATTGTAGCGCAGGAACCTTTCATTGAATGTTATCCCTATTTCTACTCGAAGTATTTTCCTGTGTTCATATTGTCGGCTTGCATCAGTATATTCGAATGCAGTGTTGAAAACTAACCATTTTGCAGCACGAGCATATCTTGCAACATGCACACTCAAGGATGCGAGTTTCCGTCTTATCGATTGTCTTTCCGACCCTTATGTATGATAGATGTATGCTCGAACATATGTAGGTGATATATACCCATGGAAGCAACCAAGTGAACGATCATGTATGCTCCCGTGAACTGCAGGAGTATGCTATAGACACAACACACACACACACCCACATACGCACACATACACACACACACACACACACACACATACACACATATATATATATATATATATAACAACACACACACACACACACTACACGACACACAC